AATTTCACCTGTTTTAGATTAAAATTATATTAAATTATAAAGGCGTCAGCAATTCTTAATAAAATTAATAAGCAACAAACTACAGCGTATGCACTCTACGCGGGCTTGCGGAATTTGATGGATGCCCGAAGTTGCTTTCGCAGCAGCCAACTTACCCGCTATCAATCTTCCGAACGCGAGATAAGCGCTGGGCGCTGGATATATTAATAACGTACTTTGTTGCATTAATTTTGGAAAAGTTCCTGAAGTAATTTTCTTATTATATCAGTTTTTTAATTACTTTTTGTAGGAAGTAACAACAAACGGCCATAAAAAGAAGAGTTATTGATATATCACGTAACAGGACGAACGGCAAATGCTGTAGTCTTTTTTTAGAAATTCAAAGAATTTTAAATAAATTGAAATACCCACAGAGATGTCAATCGACGAATTCAACTCAGCTGGACAGCGTACAGGAGATTACGACACTTCTCGTCAGGTATACCTCAAAACTTGAAAACAAAATTATACCACCAGCGCGTGTAGTGATGACATATGGATCTGAAACATGGACCTCCACTGCTGGCCGTATGAGGAAGCTAAAGGTCACTCAGCGAGCTATAGGGAGCGCTGTATGCTCAGGGTTTCTCTGCGTGATAAACTTAAAAATGAGGATATCCGCAGTAGAACCAGAGTAACCGACATTGCCCAACGGATTAGTAAGCTGATCTGGCAATGGACTGATCATATAGCTCGACGAACTAACAACCGATGGGGAAGAAAGGTTATTGAGTGGCAACCTTGTATCGGTATGCGAAGTGTAGGGCGGCGTCCCACGAGATGGAGTTAAGACCTGGTAAGATATGCAGGAAGCCGATGGATGGAGGTGGCTCAGGACAGGTTCTTTGTGACATTTCTTGCGGGAGGTCTATGTTGTTAAAATGAATGGATATTTTTGAAGTGAAATCTTTCCATAAAAGGAAAAAGAAACTAGCCTTGCAACGAATAGTATCTATATTCGGCCGCGCGCCGAATACCGAGTATTCTGCAAGCTTCCTGGCCGAATAGCCGAATATTAGGCAAAAGTATTCAGACAGGAAAGAAGCACTGTTTTTTTATTCAGAGCGTTTATTCTCGGCAGCTGGGATTGTCTACGAGAAGAAAATTACTAAAGTACCTATTGTTTTTTTTTATAGAAGAGGGGGCAAACGAGCATGCGGCTCACCTGATGCCCGTGATAGATGCGATAAAATACGCAAAGAGATGCAACATCTCTACGCAGTGCCAGTGTATCGAGCCGATCAGAAAGAACCCCGGCCCAGAGATGAGAACAGTATTCCATGTGGGGCCGAACTTGCGCTTTGTAAAGTTGCAAGCGATGTGCCGGCGTGAAATACCGTCTCGCTCTGCTGAGCAAAAGACTGCATCCCGTCCCAATCAGCTGACCTATAGTGCCAAACACGGCGGCAAGCTGCAGATCGCAACTGAGATTGGAGCGTGAGTGGCACCGTACTCCGGATCAGACAATGGTCCGAAGAGCCCAGAGGGGCATCGACGGAGACCTGATATCAGTCTGAATGAGAGGTCAGCAGAAGGTCAAACAGGGAAGGTACATGGTCTTCCACATCTGGGATCCGCGTAGGCGAAGTAACCAGTTGTGTTAGACCATATGCCAAAACAAAGTCATAGACAGATCTACCCGCATGATCGGTTAAACGAGAACCAAGCCATTCAGCGTGGTGGGCGTTGAAATCACCGAGTATCATGATCTCTGCGGATGGGACCTGTTGTAGCACGGAGTCTGCAGCCATTTGGACGTGGTCGATGAGTCGGTCTGTGTCGGAATTACCGCTATGGGATCTATAGAGGCACCTGTAGACGCGGGGATGGTCGTCGCTGTCTACACGCAGCCATAGGATGGACAGGTCCGTACCTTCAAGACTGCCGAGGCATCGAAAACAGATGTCCACTCTGACGTATACGCAAACTCCAGCCCGGGGCACAAAGGAGTGTTCCAATTTGTACCCCGGGTAGGAGAGATATGAAGTATCAGCCGGAGAGGACACCTGAGTCTCGGTTAAAAAGAGCAAGGCCGGCTTCGCCGTCTCTACATGGTAATGGACAGCGTTAAGGTTGGAATGAAGTCCCCTGATGTTACGAAAATTCACGGATAGCGTGACAGGGGTCGCCTTGGTTGCATTGCTCCGCTTGCCCCGAGCAGCATTAGTCGCGAGCGGAATTTTTTTGGGTCCTTTAATATTTTACCTTTTTTCTTTTTTATTTTATGTTGTTATAGCAGCAATATAAATACACATTCTGTGAAAATTCTACATATTACGGTTCATAAGATACAGCCTACTGACAGACAAACGGAACGATAGTGGAGACTTGGGTCCCGTTGATACTCTTTGGGTACGGAACCCTAATAAACGGCAATTATGTTATTTGACCAATACTACAGAAATAATAATTAAATAATATAGAATTAGGTTATATTATAATAAGTTAAATATATTATATTATAAAATATAGTAACAATAAATTCACAAACAATCTCAGTCACGGGGAACTTTATTTTTGCATCTCCGGCAACACTGAATAGCGTCATTGATATTTTGTGACTTATTTATGGCTCGTGTTATTTTATGTTAAAATTTCGAAATTATATGATACTTAATGATAGTATGTGATTCCAGTGGGGGGGGGGAGGGGGGGTAATCTATGTTCCAGTGTCTTTCTTATTTCTTGTAGTATTATTTTTACACAGTTTCAATACGTAAACTGGTATTTTACTTCGGATTATGATCAAAATTTATTAAAACATTCGGTACGTTTACTTCACACGTTGCCTGCTTTTTGATTATTCAAAGTACTCTATGTTGCCTGCAACGCGACTGGCTCGGGACTCGGGTACGCCGATTTCGGCGTAGTATTTGTTGCCGCATTTTACATGAGCGCCGGCGGTATCTAGTCAGAGCGCGCGATGACTTATCATTAATCTATGATTTTTATTTTACCAATTATTTGACTACAACAAAACATCTTACTCAAGTATTTGATATTCGGCCGAATAGTATCCGGATATTCGGTATTCGGCCGAATAGGAAAAAAGTAGACGAATAGGCCGAATACCGAATAGTAGCCGAATATTCGTTGCAAGTTTAAAAGAAATTAAAAAGAGACAACCACATTCATGTATATAATTTAGCCTGCGAGAGAATGAGATAAAATACAATATACAATGTTTCCTACTATCTTGGTGTCCTCTGTGCGGTGCTTTACAGATGGTTAATATAATTATTAACTGTTACCGTTAAAAAAATCATAATTAACCGATTATCTTAAGTTAGTCGTGTTGTTGCCATCTAGCGTCTTTTTTACGTACCACTTTGAAAGTCTTGATCGATACCTTACGAATTTACCTATAGATTGTAGTAGATTGCGCTACAAAAAGCAATTTCACACGCAATTTTCTGAAGGATTCATTTCTGCCGCGTGTGAAATGCATACATTTTTCTAGTTTTGTAAACTAGGTATATAAAAACACTTTGTAAAATTTTTATATCTTTAAACTTTTATAATTTTTTACAACGACAACAAAACGTTGAACAAAAATTGTCAAGTTAAACAATCTAAATCCAATAAATAGCGCCATCTAGTTCTTAAATTGAACAACCTAAAAATCTATGTATTTACGTCAACAGATATCGCCACATGCTCCAATTTAAAGTTAAAACGGAGGGTAAAAAGTTTAAAATTTACACCCGAATTAGAATTTATGATGTAACGATGAATATTAATTTACAAATTACTCCTTTTATGTTGTTAGAGAAGTTGAGGCATACTTCATTGGGTAATTACGGAGATTTGACGTCACGAGCGCTAAAATTAATTTGCATTTGAAACGTTCAGCGCGCTAAATTTATGTGCATTCATGAAACTGGATAATTTCTTTGCTCTTTACCAGAGTTTCTAAGCACGTAGCTAATTAAATATCTTTATAATTTTATACCATGTATCATTTTTCCCCCTTTTACCACAGAATAAATAATAGTTAAAAGAAATATTACGTAAAAATAAATTTGAGTAAAATGCTGATCATTCTCATAGAATATTATTTTAAATATAAATTTTGCGGATCTAAATATTAAAATGTTATATTATGTTTAATAGTTAAACGAAATTTTACGTAAAAATAATTTTGAAGTAAAATGCTGACCATTCTGATAGAATATTATTTTAAATATAAATTTTTCGGATCTCAAAAATTAGTGTTATATTATTATTAATAGTTAAAAGAAATTTTACGTAAAAATAATTTTGAAGTAAATTGCTGATCATTCTCATAGAATATTATTTTAAATATAAATTTTGCGGATCTAAAATATTAAAATGTTATATTATGTTTAATAGTTAAACGAAATTTTACGTAAAAATAATTTTGAAGTAAAATGCTGACCATTCTGATAGAATATTAATTTAAATATAAATTTTGCGGATCTAAAATATTAAAATGTTATTATGTTTATATATATTGTTCAAATTATTATATACTTGAATTAAGTTATTATTATTGCCATTAATATAATTATATTTCATACACTCACATAAATCCCGTATGGTCTAGTGGCTAGGATACCTGGCTTTCACCCAGGAGGCTCGGGTTCGATTCCCGGTACGGGAATACCTTTTGGTGAAATTTTATTTTATAACTGCCTGGTATCCGGCGCGTTATTACTACAGAAGAAATATGATTGTGGAAATTTCGTTTAAAATTTGGAAGTTATGTATATTGTTTAATTAAGAATAAGAATGATAGAACATTCACTGAAGTTAAATAATATATTATATATATGTAACTCAAATAACTTTGTTGGTACGGTACGAGCGCCACCTACTTGTAAGTTAATTGTACTATGTCTATAACCTTCGCGCAAGTGCAAGCAATAAGTTGACAAAGTTTTAGCGTAATGTAATAAACGGTATAATAATAATATACTATTTTATTCTATTTTACTTACCTCGCAACCAAAATGATTCTATGAGCATAAACTTTTTCCTCCGAAGTGCCCAGTATGAAGACAACGTCCGCCGAGTCTTGGTCTTCAGATAACCGCTGCAAATCTCGGAGTAGGCCTGGCAAACCGGCCCGTTCCACTGACGCAGTACAGCAAGTGCCGGTCACTCGGTTAGCCATTGCAATAGGCGAAGCTATTCTTTTTGATATAATTTTGATACCAGATTGGTTTAATACAACTTTACGAACAATTTATTCATAAATAAGAAAGTTAATAGGTTAATAACACAGCATTTAACAAAAACAGTTTTTTTATATGTTATTTACTTACTATATTACTATTTACTTACTATATACTAAGTATATTACACTTTCACAGTTATAAAATATTATTTAAGTTTAAGTCACTAAACAAAACTTATTTAACGCTGTCAGTTTCATTTAGAAATCACAATATAAAACCATAGAATATAAAACATAAATGCCCTTGAATCGCAAGTTCGTAAGCTTAAAAACATAACCTCAACCTGAACTTAGTAACTTAACACAAACACAGTTCACACAGTGTTTTCTTTCCTAGCGTTGCGTATATTTCTGCGAGTTGAATCTTCTTGTGTCTCACTTATTTCTCGGCGCTTTGCTTCTCTGTGTTTTAGATATGGACCGGTCATAATAAAGAGGTCCAAACAGGTTTGTTTTGTTGCGCAGGTAGAATAGTTACGTTTATATATCTATCTTTGTCTTACAATTAGAATAATATGTTAAGTGTATATTATATAATATTTTGAAGATTTTTCGCAAGAGCCTCCGTGGCGCAATCGGCTAGCGCGTTCGGCTGTTAACCGAAAGGTTGGTGGTTCGAGCCCACCCGGGGGCGTTCATTTTTATCCTTTAGGCCCGCCACATACATACGGAATTCCGTTTCGGGATTCGAACGCACAGGCGGTCATACGGAATCTCGGATCCCAAAACGGAATTCCGTATGTATGTGGCGGGCCTAAAATCAGTAACTGTTTTTATACCACAGTAGAACCAGAGTGACCGACATAGCTTAAGGCCGGCCACATACATACGGTCGCTCCGAACGCACGTCTTCCATAGATTTTGTACGAGTCCGGCCTAACGGATTAGTAAGCTAAAGTGGCAATGGGCTTGTGATGGGTCAACTCGAGTTGGATCTCCCTAACTCGAGTTTGGGCTGTTGTACATGAACGGGTCAAGTGAGCCAGCAAAATAGTAAAAGCTCGATTCGTTCATTGTGTGCGCGCTTTGTGTTTTAAAGAGTATTTAGCTACAACCAAACAATTTGTTATTTAGAATTATATAATAGCTAAGTTACGTAATTTAATTTCTTTTATAATTTTGATCAAAATAGTGATATAACTCGCATACCTATTATTATAATACCCGAAAAGGGTGGTTAAGTTGTAAGATCATCATATTTTAAATTAAGGCCAAATGTAACACTTAACTTACAATAAATATTATAAATTTGAAAATTGAATTTACTTAAGGATATTTTGACTGTAATAATTAAACTATTAATAGCTAATGTACCTATATCTTAAAGCTAGACTAATATTGTATCGTGAAGACTGTTATATAGCTAGTTTTGTAGTTAAATACATGTATTTACTGTTAATAAGATTAAAACCAAGAATACATAAGTATGTGATACTTATGTATTCTTGGTTTTAGTATGTGATACATACTAAATATATCTTTTTATTTCCTACATAATAAGTTTGGTAATTATAAAGCTAGACAGGAAAACAAATTTATAAAAAAGTAATTTCTAACAAATCATTTACTCTGTTTCGTACTGCTAACTCGAGTTTAAACTCGAGTTGCGTGAATTTCAACTCGAGTTAACTCGAGTTGTAATTTTCCCGAGCTGGCACATCTATACAATGGGTCGGCCATATAGATCGAAGAACCGACAATCGATGAGGAAACAATGTTCTCGATTGGCAGCCTCGTACACATAGATAATCTTTATATATAAAAATTACGTGTCACGTTGTTTGTCCGTGATGGACTACTAAACTACTGAACCGATTTCAATGAAATTTTGCACACTGTGTGCAGTTTGGTCCAACTTGAGAGATAATGTTTATCCCGCTAATTGACCCTCAGAATTTTTAATTGTGTATTTAAGGATTTTTATAGGAAGGGTCGTTGGAAAGGGCAGAACAACGTCTGCCTGGTCAGCTAGTATACTATAAGAAGTGTAGGGTGTCTCACGGAATATAAAAACAAGTTATGAACTGAAAAACCTTGTTTTTGGGGCGTCCCCCACTAGATGCAGTGACGACATGGTAAGATATGCAGGAAGTAGATGGATGCAGGTAACTTAGGCCCGTGCTTTGCTGCTTTGTGGCATTCCTTGGGGGGGGGGGGGAGGCTTGTGGAGGACGGTAATGAAATATAAACTGCGTCATTTCATTTGCATTTAATATAATCAAAGATGTATAATAATTTATCGACCTAGTTATTCTACAATAACTCATCCGATCTTCTAAACAAACCGATGATTAATTTGCTTACATTGAGTTTGATGCATTATTTAAATTATTTTCATCCAGCAAATGCTCACTGGGGGAATATGAACACAGTGTGTTTTGTTTTGTATCTTTATTCAGACTTTTCAATACAATTATTTAGTTTTAACTATTATTATGTGCTCGCAAAATGGATAATAAGAGTACAATACAAAAAAATTACGCTTCGGCAAAGATGTTTAAAAATCCTGTATGCAATTATTAATTATTTATGTCATTCAAGGAAGTTAAATTTGAATAAATGCGTATTAATACTCTGGTTCATCCTCATATTCTTCATCATCAGCCTGTAAACCCATTGTAGAAAGCTCATAAGGTAAATAACCACCTTTTGGAAGTTATCTGATGCAAAGCCTGATTAAAAAGACCACTAGATTTCATTAATAAAGGCACTACTTACATTATTGCAGGGTAACTATCAAAATATTATTTCACACATAATTCTACAAATCAGTGCTCATCGCTTAGAAATTTAGCGACAGGAAGTACACCAGCGTTCAGTGCAGTGCTGACTGACAGTTCTAAAATTGCAACCCGTCAGCGATTCTAACGGACGTGCGGTACGATACGAGTTTCCGAATACAACGTAACGTTGTGGCGTGTGGCGGGCGGTTAGCTCCGTTACAGTTGTTACAAAATGGCGGCTTTGTTAGTTCGAAAATTTGAGGGGATGCTAATACAATTATTGCCTAAGGATTGTACCTTATAATATTAAAATTATGTCATTATAATAAAAAAGAACCGCTTTGTCGTATCTCCTCAGTTTCAAGGCATTCCCCTTGCTGCCTCAGCTAGTATCGGAATCCTTGGCGTCGACATATCGAATAGTGTGCAGTTTCGTGGTCACTTGGAAGGGAAGGCCAAATTGGCCTCTAAAAAGCTTGGCGTGCTCAGCAGAGCGAGACAGTATTTCATACCGGCACATCGCTTGCAACTTCACAAAGCGCAAGTTTGGCCCCACATGGAATACTGTTCTCATCTCTGGGCCGGGGTACCTCAGTGCCAGCTCCTTCCACTTGACCGCATCCAGCGCAGGGCGGTTCGAATCGTCGACGACCGAGTTCTTTCTGATCGGCTCGATACACTGGCACTGCGTAGAGATGTTGCATCTCTTTGCGTATTTTATCGCATCTATCACGGGGAGTGCTCTGAGGAATTGTTCGGACCAATTCCAGCCGCTCAATTTCACCATCGTACATCGCGATGAAACTCGCGTTACCATCCATGCCATCTGGATGATTGGCGGTCCACCACTGTGCGATTTAGAAGAAGTTTTCTCCCTCGCACAACTTCCTTGTGGAATCAATTACCACCAGCGAATATTCCGGACCGATACGACTTAGGAACCTTCAGGAAAAGAGCTTACACCTTTCTAAAAGGCCGGCAACGCATCTGCAATTTCCCTGGTGTTGCGGTTGTTCATGGGCGGCAGTAGTCACTTACCATAAGGTGAGCCGCATGCTCGTTTGCCCCCTCTTCTATAAAAAAAAAATTTAAAAGATAATTGGCGGTTTTTTTTCACAAAAATGTGCTACTATATGCCCATAAAAAGAACTTCTAGGATCATTCACATTCATTTATTTCATAATGATATTTTTAATAGGATCGGGTGACAAACGAGCACACAGTCCACCTGATGATAAGTGGTTGCTGTGGCCCATAGACCCCCATCTACATCTATCCCCGTTTGCGAAACAAAATGCAGATGCGTTGTCACTTGTGAGGACTAAAATGGAATGCCTCTTTTCCAGTAAAATGGGTCTCCGGTTATTTATCATACCGAGTCGTTATAAGGAAGACACTGCTGCCTATTTCCTGTCTCTATCGCCTCTTACGACACTAATGCGATGATATGGGAAAATAAGTTCAGTTAAGCCGCCGCTACGAGTCCTCTGATTCAGTCTATTTTAATACTGTTTGAAACTTCACTTTTACTTTCGTTTAGAGCCGGGCGGCATCAGAGGCAGCTGAACTGAGTAAGTGGTGCAAATATGAGTATATGAGATATGACTATATATTTGTGCCATTTGCTGTAGAAGTCCATCCGCGGCTGGTCGTTGCTGCTGGTGAGAAAAGGGCTGGCTCTTTTCTCGCTCAAAAGCTAAGTATTGCCATTCAGCGTGGAAACGCAGCCAGCGTTCTTGGCACGATACCACGGGGAGTAGGACTGTATGATAATTAAATTACTAGTCTTAGATTTTTTTTTTAATATTATATTATATAATAAAACTTTCAAAACCGTTTGGATAAATATTGACTTAAAAAAATATATCTACCACAATGTTTTTTTTTCATATTCTTACATTGGGACAATCCAACAGTGGTTTCAACATCCAACAACCACGCGGCGGTTTTTGCTGTTACACGTGGGCAGTCTCAAACCGTGGTGGTACCATGACCGCAGAATGAGAACATCTAGCCCTGCTTCTGCGTTTGGTCTGGTGAGTGCAGGTGGCGGGAGGCCCAATACCCCCTCCAATCAACACGATGACCCCATGAACCTGTGAATTCTGGTCTTTCGCCAAAACTGTCCCAGGGAATTTCTGTCAGCCATCTCATCTTTGCACAGGGAGGACGACTCACTGGCCTAACCGCAAAGGAGATAGCCAATCTGCTAGG